ATGCAGATGCACATGCGGTATGCAAGGATAGATCAAAACATAAATGCAACGTATATAAACTATGGGCGTGTACGTGTTCTTCTTCGGCCCCGCTGGTGAAGAGTCGGTAAGTTCGCAGAACCCAATCTGGAGGAACAGTCCGGAGCTAGGTCCCGCAGCCAACTTTATTTAGTTATGAGGCTATATTTGCTGTATCTTTATATAGTTAAGTTATATAGTTATATACTTAGTTATATAGCTGTGTAGTCTAACTGCAGGGGCCGTGGGATATGAGGAGTGTACGGAGCCAGTCTGAAGCCAGTGTCCCCCGGCCCTGTGGGACCAGCATGTCGAGATGGCAGCAAGGCCAGGATGATGACTATGATGACATTTTAAAGATGATGGTGATGAGAAGGGCGATGAGAACAAATGGTGATGAGGATGGCAACGGCGAGGCAGTCCAACTTGCTCGTCTAGTGTTCTTAACTCCCCCAACCCCACCCACCACCAGTGCCAGCAAGGGAGAACTGGGCAGCACAGAAATGATCAGCCAACCGGTCCGAAGTGCAAAAAGACCGTCCGAAGTACAAAAAGACCGGAACAACAGATTATCCCAGCGGCGCAGACCAAAAGCGTAAAGCTTCATATTGCAGTGGCACTAATAGGATGCCCGGGCAGAACGCTCCTGCGACCAGCTTGCAGCCTCTAGCAACTTATTCCCGAACTCCACTTCAAAGCGGAGCCGCTACACCCTTAACCTCTTATGCCCAAAGGTAGTAGGCGGCGTTTTAGCCTTCAGGGTTGAGTGTTGAAGAGTTCTTCTAAGCTTCTAAACCCCGTAAGAACTCCTAATAGTGATTATTGTGGTCCCTTAGAGTGAAACCGTCAGGCCTTCGAAAGATTCGACGGGCGCCCACACAGGCACAGAGACATTGCTGTTGCCAAGAGGCTATTAGGGTTTAGGGTTTAGGGTTTGGGAGGCCTGGGCCCTGACTTCCGGCTCCATGTAAACCCCAAAGGCATTGAACGAGAGACACTTGGCCGCTGCGCTGTGGGATTTTAAGGCCTTGGGATTTCAGGGCTCGAGCACGCAGCCTGGCAACCAGCGAGCTTTACACTGAGCCGAGAGTATCTGCAGTCTTGGGAACGGAGCTCTGAGCTCTGAGAGTGTTTGGAGTTTGGGACTTGAGGTGGACAGACCAACTCCCGGAGTTTCAAACTTGATCCCGAACATGGATGCAAGAAGGTTTTTTTTATCAGGGTTTTTAGGGCTTAGGCCTGCGGTCCTCTTGCAGGATTGATCTCCGAAGCCTTGTCGCTGCCTCAGACTTTCGGAAGGTTCTCTGGGTCTTCAACAGAGTATGCCACTCTTACAACCGATCCTCACAGGCACCCTGAGTTAGAGAACCTGCCACGTGCAAGACTCGGGAAGCTTGAGCTCTATTTATTGTGGCATACCGTCATTTGTGTATATATTTTTTTAGAGAGAGAGAGAGAGAGATGTTTACATTTGTATATATGCGCGTATATATAAGTTTTAAGGAGACTAAGCTCTACCTGGGGCTCGTGAAACTACGCTGTTACAGACCACCCTACACCTCGCCTGAGCTTCGAGTGCTGCTAAACGTGTATGAGTAATAGTTGTTTTGCCGCAACATGATGCTAGTGGCTCAGGCCGACCAAGGAGCGAGTGTCCGAAGAGTCTGGCGACCTCTAGACTCCTTTTGTTGGAAGGGTGTTCACGGAAAGTGAAAGTAGGGTCATCCTGCATGTCAAGAAAGTCCACTCGTTGGAAAAATTTAACTAGAGCAGCTCCATCTGCAGCCTATTCTTCCACTTCGGCTTCTCTGGGCAGCAGCCTCCACCTAATGCCCAACTCCGGAAGGCATGATGCATGACACAGGTATGACCCTGCGTCAAGAACGCGTTACATGTGCTCGTGCCCCAGCGGGGGCTTGGTGCGAAAGCTAGACATTGACACCTCTACACCCTGAGCCTGTAAGCCTAGCGCGTGCCTCAAATCCCAGATCTCCCTCCTCAGCACAGCTTGTATTGAGAACCCTGACCCTGTGAAAGAGACTGGCTTGTCTGCTCAGGGAGCCCCCGATACCCTAGGCCCTAGGCCTTAAATCTGGGTTTGGGCCTGACAGTTTCGGGAAAGCACGGTTGGCCTTGGCGTTCACACCCACGCATTTCGCTTTGCAATTCGAACGAGATTCCCTGCGGTGCGACTTGGTCAGCTGGGCTGGTGGGGAGAAAATCCTACACCTCCTCGCGAAGCCCAAAGCCCCCAAATCCCAGTTGGAGACTCCGAAGTCGAAAAGTCTGAGTACTGCGCACTAAAAACATCCTAAGACTCTTCCACCCTAGGCCGTTACCGGTCTAAGCCAAACCGTAAGTAAAGACATGAAGCCTCAGGTCCTGGCAGCTTCGAAGAGGACTTCGGAAATTTTGGGGGCCATGATTTTTCCCCGACCAGCGAAGCACTCGGGTTTTGGGGCTTAAGGAACAAGCGGTTCAATTAGGGTTCGTGACTTCGGGCTATCACGATTCGAAGCTTGCACTGCGGGTGTTGGAGTTCAGCAGGAAGGTGTTTCCCTTTTTCTTTTCGATTTATCCGGAGTAAGAACATACCGCACCTTGTCCGCGAACCACTTAGTCAGACCTTACCTCATCAAAGAGCGGCATTCTACAACACGCGTTAAGCAACTCTCAGAATTTGTCTTCCTGTTGTTCTACTATGTCCTATCACTGTCCTCACGTCTCCTCTGCAATTCATGGTTATGCATCTCCTGATGCACTCTCTTCTTGTGTTCTGTGCATTGTTTGCACTATGTCACTCCCCCTGTGTCCGAATTTCTTGATCCGCCTCTTGGGCCAAGCGGGGGTAGTTGATTCCGGCTCAGCACACGGGCAAAGAGACGTAGCTTGCATGGGCTGCTCGGGAGTTGTTGTCTGGCTATGGGGGTTCACCGGGCTCCTCTCTGAGATCACCGTAACCTGTGTTTTCTGGCTGTATGAGGGCTGGCCATTGTGAGTTGTGAAATGGGCCTCGGATCTGGCGAATGTATTTGTCCAAGGTGTGATGTCGAAAGCTGGTGGCTGGATGTGATGCAATGAGCGCATTCGCAGAGTCTTCGCAAGTGGTACTTGCAGAAAATCAATCACCACAGCGGTAGCGGTGGTGGTGGCTCTGGTGGAGGTGCTCGTAGTTGACATCATGGTGGTGGTAGAATGGTAGCTGAGTAGCTGCCGTTTTGGTAGTATCTGTAGGCGGAGGTGGTAGTGGCAGTGTGGTAGTGGTGGTGGTGGTGGTGGTGGTGGCGGCGTTGGTGGTGGTGGTGGTGTCGACAGCCTCGGTGGCATTGAGGGCTTGAAGACCGTACACGCACATTTCAATCCACTGTTCCTGTTGCCTGCGTTTCTATTTCATCCGTGCTGGCAAAGGCAGCAATTGCATGACCATAGTCAGTAGTCATACCGCGAACCTACAGCTTCGGCCCCTGCCTGCACTTCTATCCTTTGTCAGAGAGGATCCCGAGCTGCAGCCAATGGTCGCGCGGATCAACGATCTCAAGCGTATGCTGGGAGTGACGGAGGGATACAGCTGCGGCCTTAGTAGCAGAAACATCTGTTTCTGCTTGAAGACAGCAGGACAGCCCGAAGCCCTGATAGCAACTATGCAAGTGAAGACGTGCAGATTGTTTGTTTGTGCCACGGTGCTCCATCTGCAATGCCAAGTCGTGCACGTTCGCGCGACCTAGCTCCAATCTAACCCTCGCCCGGCACACAGTCATTCAGAATAACCACGAAAACTTCATCCACGCCCACGGCCCCAAAGCCTTCCTAGCCTAAATGTCAAACACGCTCCAGCACTACGTATTCCTAAAGCCTAAAGTCCTAAAGTCCTAAACCACAGCTTCATCCAGGCGTTCTGACCCGAAGCCTCTGCTTCAGGCAGCCGCCCCGAGTGGGAAGTGTCCAGAACCAGTCCGCCAGAGGCCTTCAGCGTTGGTTTAGGAGTTTAGGGTCTGGGGTTTAGGGTGTAGGGTTTAACATGATATGCTGGCGAAGTGGGACTCGGATGTTGAGGGTTGTCTCGGGGACTCGGATTGGAAAGGTTGGGGGCTGTTGCTTTTCCGTCTTGAGTGTTCGGGCTCAGCGCATGCATCCCCGGCCCCACACCCTATACAAGCCCTAAGCCCTAAACCCTAAACTCTTGAACATCAAGCCTTAAGCTGAACCCTAAACCGGAAGCCCTGAGCCCACAAGGTGCAGAATTGGATCTCCCAGACCCTGGCCTCCTTGCCGAAGGCCCCGGAACCGGCCCAAGTCCCAGAGAGGGTCCGGTATTCCAGGGTTCTTGCAGGGATCCCGCCCTAGAGGGCTTAGGGTTTAGGTAAACCCTAAACCCTGACTCAAACCTGTGAAACCTCGCCTGGCTTGGCCGAATTGTGAGAGCATAAACCCTAAACCCCTAAAGCTCAGACCGCCGAACGCCATGCCAGCTTTGAGCGAGTGTGTGGGTCGAAACCCTAAAGCCTAAACCCTAGCAAATTTGAACATATCTGAACTTATCCTGCTCGTCCTGGCTAGGTAGGAGGGAAAAACCCTAAACCCCTAACCGTTCCAAGGGTCCTCCGAGGGTCCTCCAGGGAATGTGCACTGCAGCAGGCTATGGCTTCCCCAGCCAGGGATAGTTCCACAGTCCAGGTATATACTATAATGTATTATCATGTAGTGTATATTGCAACGTATACAATACTGCTATACTGTGTGCTGCAATATCTGCCATAATGTACGATATTATACTGCAGTCTGCTAAAGGTTCAAAAGGGTGGCTAGCCGAGCCTCAGCAGGGTGCGAACTCCGACTCATTGGGCCACTGTTCGGATCAAAGCTGGGCTGGGATGTTGGGGCCGGAGGTCATGTTGATCACAACATAAGGTTTTCCAGATCATAGTGAGATCTGCGAATCCGTTCTTTTTCCGGCCCAAGCTTATTGATAGCCTTGCTGCAGCATGGCGGCCGTCGACCGGTTCGTGAATCCGATTCCCAACCCTGCACGCTACCAGAAGTACAATGGCGTCAACTTGGAGACTCTGTGCATGGCCGCATACCAAGGAGACCTGGAACAGTTAGAAGTGCTCCTGCGCAAGGCCCGGCTACACTGCACTAGGTTTGTACTGTTGATCTCCTGCAACATAGTCTTTGAGTACATTGTAGTATACTTCAGTATAGACTCGTGTACCATTCGTATACTATAGCCGATGATAGTACACGCTAGTATACGTTACATTTCATTCACCCCCCCAGCCCCATGTGGAAAGGGGGACGAAGACCACATCTTCAATGGTGACGTGAACATGCACTACACGGATGTCAATGCGCTTCACATGGCTGCCATGGCCGGGCATGCCAAGTGCGTGAAGCCTCTTGGGCATGATAACCGGGCCGGCACTGCTCTAAGCTGAGATCTTTTGTCGGCTTGTTTTGAGGCTTTTCTGAATAGTTACTAGTACTACTCCTCGGGGCCTCTTAATATATTGAAGCTTTCATATACCCCAAATCGCTAGTAGAGCCCGAGAGATCCCTTCAAGCCTTATTTAAGAATCATTAAGGCCCCTGTTCTCTAGAATGCTTATCGTAGCCCTTATAGGTGGTTGTCAGGGAACCTAAAAGGAATATAACTCTGTAAAGGAACCTTAAAACGAAGCCCATTCCAATCATTAAGGCCCTTCATCCAAGGCTCCTCCTCGAAGCGCAGGCCGACCCACATGTGCGCTGCGTGGTGCCCGAAGGAGCGAACTGTGGGAAGGGAGGGGGCCTCTTCGTTTGGGCGGTTGGGGAGTTTCAGAAAAGAACGTTTTCGGCTTGGATTAATAGGGGTTTAAGGGTTGTGGGGGAGTTTCAGAAACGAAGGGTTTGGTACGGATTCTGGGGAGGTTGGCAACAGAAGGGGCCGAATATAGCAACGAAGTAGTCGGATGTTATTCTGGGAGTTTAGCAGAAATTTCGGACCCCAGGATAGAAAGGTTAGTGCTTCTGACCCAAGTTAAAGCGCGAGCCTCGAGTCGATTCCCGGGCATCGCAATACATCATCCTGCCATCAACCCTAAGCCCACAAGAACGACCTTCAACTTACCCTAACCTTAAGCTCTGAGCCCCATGCTGCTGCCTAGGCAAGGATCCAAAGGAGGCCGACACTGCGAAGGATAAGGCAGCAAAGTTCAGGCACGACGAGGCTTCCCGGCAAAGTTGGGAACTGGGTCGTGGTCTCGGGTTTGCGGTCACGGGGTTTGGGGTTTAGGGTTTAGACAGAGACATGTTTAGAGTTTAGCGTGCATGTAGGGTGTCGAGACGCTGGGCTGCTGCAGCTTTAGGTTGTTAGTGGGTCAGGATTCGGGTTGAGGGGATAGGGGTTTAGGGGTTCAGGGTGTTTAGGGCTTTTTGACTTTAGCAAGTATTGTGCCGTACATGATGAGGCAGTTGTTCGAGGCGTCCAGGCAGGGATAGACGGCTCTGGCTGCGCTTGCGACGTTTGGGCTTCAGGGCCAATGTGAGGCCCAAAGTTCAATCCTGGAGATGACTAACCCCGCAGGCCATTCAGCGCAAAATGCATATCATACATATACATATACATATATATATATATATATTAAAGCCCCAGCCACGTCCTCGGAGTGCCTCCTCCGAGAGGTCGTCACCTTGCTCAAGAAAGCCGAAGGGGAGATGCCCCGAGGGTGGTATGAGGACCTCCTCTGCAAGCTCTTGGGATGGAGGGCTTAGGGTTCGACTACCGGACATGTCAAAGCAGTTTGCAGGGAGGTGTCGAAAGGTGCATAGCCAATCAAGAGCACATGAAGGTCTAGGGTTAACGACTTGGGGTCTCGGTTCAAAGTACGCAGTTAGAGCGTTCTGGGCAGATGCGAAAATGTCGACGTACATTTGCCGTTTTGTAAAATATACCCACTGATGACACGGGACTCAGCATACTGCTGCTTAACATCAGCCGTGCGGATAGGACCTGGAATCAGCCAAAACCCTGCAGGAGGATGGCATTGCGAACAATCAGAAGCTCTATTCTGATCCGAAGCTCGTGAAAAAGGCTGAGCCGGCAGCACCCCAGGCAGAGGAGGGCACTGGTTAACGCATCGTAAGAGGACAGGTTCTGTTGCTGTCCTTCTTGTGTCAGCATGTGCATCAGCGTCATCAGGATATCCTTCTTCCTGCTAGGAGCTCCGGAACCATTAAATACATGCCACTTAACCCTACATCCTATGCCCCAAACCTTACGCCCTAAACTCGAAACCCTAAACCCCTAAATCCTAGATCCTAAACCCTAAACCCCTAAATCCACAACCCAATCGCAAAGCCCTGCGAGGCCGAGCCCAAGGCCGAGCCCAAGGCCAAGGCGAAGGCCGAGGCGAAGGCCGAGGCGAAGGCTGAGCCCAAGGCGAAGGCCACCTATCCCAAGAGAGTTTAGGGCCTGTAGGGTTTAGGGTTTAGGGTTTTAGGGTTTAGGGTTTTAGGGTTTAGAGGCGTTGGGTACCCGGCAGTCGCAATAGGCCTGGATGCAAAAAGAGGCGTTAGGGCCTGTAGGGTTGAGGGTTTTCAGTTGCAAACAAGGGTTTGGGTTCTAGGGAAAAGGTACTAGGCCTTAGGTATTAGGATCAGCGGGCTTCGAAAGTCTGGTTGTAAGTCATAAGTGCAGCTGCAGTTGCATAAGGGAGGCCCTTAATCTTCTGCGGCACCCCAGAGCTTCAAGCCCGAAGAGGGCCCAAACCTCAAGGGCGAGGAATTTTCCTCCATGATGATGAGATGTGTTTGTGGTTGCAGTGTGTACATAAACCCGGCCTGTGCATTCCCAGTAGCGAGAGTCCAAGCCCCCAGCTCGCTTCGAGAGTCCAAACCATGAGGGAAAACTCAGTGTAGAGTCTTGACTAGATAGTAGTAATCCTAAACCCTAAACCCTAAACCTGTGGGAGGGAAAAAAACCTATTCACACATAGTCTGCATTACAAGCAGACGGTAGGTTACTCGCCAAGAGCCTATGCTAATTGCTAAGGCCCCGGATTTTCTGCACCGTGCACTGATTTCTTTTGCCCTAAACCCTAAACAAAACGCCTAAACCCTAAACCCTGTTTCACGCCGACTCGCACCTATTAAATCTCGCCTGGATCGCCCGAGTTGTGAAAGTGTAAACCCTACAGCCTAAACCCTAAACCCTAAGCCCTAAGCCCAGGCCAGCAAGCCCACGTTGCCCGTGGCGCTGATCTTTCCGGGCCAGGGCTCGCAGTATGTGAAGATGTTGGATGGCGTGAAGGATGTCCCAGAGGTCAGACTGGGCTTAGGGATTAAGGTTCAGGGCCTAGGCTCTCAACCCGAAGCCTTGACTGTTGCAGAGTTGTTTTGCTTTCGCTGCGCAACGCCTCCGTTTGCTTGCTTGGCTGTGCAGAGCATGCCCGTCTAACAACGGAACTGAAGCCGGGGCTCCCGACTTAATCGAAGTAAGATCGCAGAGTCCCCGAAGGTGAAGGACATGCTCTCCAAAGCCAACGAGATCCTCGGCTACGACCTTCTGAAGATGTGCCTAGAGGGGCCCGAGGAGAAGCTAGCAGAGACCCGGTACTGTCAGCCTGCGATGTTCCTTCGGCCGGCACTTGGAGCCTTTCTGGCCTTTTCAGGTACAGGGTTGAGGCTTGGAGGTGCTATTTCTGTTAAACCTAAACCTATTTCTGATAAACCTAAACCCTAAACAAACCCAAACCCGAAAGCCCGGCAGGGGGCCTCTTGGAGTTCCGCTCCGATACCCTGCCGGGTCCCCCCCTAGGGCCTGGCCTGAGTTGCTAGGGGCAAAAAACTAAGTAATAATTCGAATCGGGTTTTTCGGGGTATGTTATACGATAACGATACTTATTTTTTTAGGTATGCTTTACCGATAACTTATAATAAGGATTCCCCCCCTTTTCCCTGCAGGTTCGTGGGTGGCCTCGCCGGAGTCTGCAAGCTAAAATCTCAGAACGCCGATGCCGCTTCGAGACCGCGCTGCATGGCTGGCCTGTTCCTTGTCCCTTAAAGTCTTAGGGGCTGAGTAGGTCACCTTTAACCTTTTGGGCCTTATATAATCCTACTATAACTGAAAAGGTTATCCTGTTTTGGGCTAGGGTACTCAGCCCCTAAGAAGTTCAAAGCATGTCTTTCTGATAGAAACAGGCAAAAATATACAGGAAGAGCTTTTTGTACTTTCCTTGTACAGGATTTATGCAAGACTAGTCTCGCCGAGCCCGAAGAAGCCCAAAGCGAAGCTCTCTGTCCGAATCCGGCTTTTAGGTGTCGTACGGGCCCCTGGGACACTTTCTCCGAAACCAACGTACAGCACTCTGACAGAGTACAGTAAATGTACGTGCATATCTTGTCGGTATGTCAAATGCAGGAATAGTTGTGTGACGGCACGTGCATTTTGGATTCCTCTACATGAAAGTGGACTGTAGTCCTGTTGCGGAATCGATCAAGATATTATGTTATAGTATATTATATTGTATTATATATTATATTATATTATAGTATAGCATATTTTATTATATTATAGTATATTATATTATATTATATTATGAGCGGAAGCGTCTGAGTCGAAGGTCTCTGGGCGAGTACACGGCGCTCTGTGCTGCCGGCGTCCTCAGCTTCGAGGATGGCCTAACATTGGTGAAGTTGCGTGGGGAAGCCATGCAGGAGGCGGCGATGGTGGGAAAGCAGGCGATGCTTCCTGGCAGCATTTTCTATCTGTCTAGCCAGTCGATCAGTCAGTCGTCTATCTCAACTCCAAGCCCGAGGACGAAACTCCAAAACCCTCAAGCCCCAACCCCAAACCAAAGACCTTTCCCAGGCTTTCTGTGGCAGGCTTGGACCAGAAGGTTTTGGAGCAATGCTGCGCGGAGGCTGAGAAGAAGGAAGCCGGGGGCGTCTGTCGCATCGCCAACGCCCTCTTCCCAAAGGGCTTCTCTTGTGCTGGTACGGAGCAGGCGTGGCCGGGAGTTAGACCATTGAGGCGTCCGAGAGGTTATGCTGCCCGCCAAGCCAGCAGCATGGGCGTTAGTGTTAGCATGCAGTTCTGAGGGTCTGAAGCTTGGAGTTGAGGGCAGTAGTTATACCAGAATGTTGCTATACTTAACTATAGCAGACTCTAACTATGCTCTTGCTCTATGAGATGATTCGAGTCGGGCCTCCCCTACAGCAGCAAATATGAAGGCAGTTAACGAGCTCAAGGCCATCGCAGAGAAGAAGGGGGCGCTCCAGGCCTGTGGGGTGCCGATTGTGTTTGGAGTGTAATATCAAATTCTGCTTTGGTATAATGATTTTAATGCTGGAGTAGCTATGGCACAATGAGGAGCATATGTATAGCCTAGTTATCATGAAATTACGGTAAGATTGCTGTACAATGGTGCCGTAAAGCATGGTTTAACTTCAGCAGAATATACCCCCAGACCGCACCCCAACAACTCGGGGCCCCATAGACACCCTGCAAGAACATGCAAAAAAAGTGGGCGACTCCACAAACAAGCAGACAGCCCTAAACCCTAAACCCTAAACAGAGATGCAAGTCTGGGGGCCTCAGGCGAAGCTTTTGAAGACGGGAGGCGCCTTTCACACCTCTCTGATGCAGCCGGCCCAGGACACGGATTGCTTTTGAGACTTTAGTTGCACCTCTTCTTCCTCCTCCTCTTGGACTGGTGTTGGGGCTTTTCAGCAGCTTCGGTTAGCGGTTTACAGGCCCATGACAACATATGGTTACCACCGGTGCAGCAGAACAGGGCTAGACTGTAACTCCATGCATAGGCAGTGAAAGTTGCATGCGTTGTTTCACAGACATTTTTGCACAACTGGTGCTGTTGTTCTTCATTCGAGATACTATGTCAAGAGCACCAGCCTTAAACCCCTAAATCCCGTAATGTAGAAGCCCACAAAATTACCCACATGGGTCCTTAGGGTTCCTTCGTATAATTATTACTATAAGGGAGCCCCAAACCC